TACTTTCTTTTATGTATGTTAAAACTATGCAAAAAAATGGCTGTAACTTTTTTATATACAGTCTATTAACTGTCCAAATACAAATATGCACCAGAGAAATTGAAATGTACAAGTAAATAACATAGAAGATGCCGGTATCTACAAATTTATGTAGGCTATATTTTAATCACTAAGTAGCTCCATACAAGCATAGAGAGGTGCAACTAAGAATTATTTTCATTATCAATTAGGCTTCCATCTATTTTCTTGATTAATTAATTATTAATATGTATTATTATTATCTTTTAGTCTATTAAAAGGTCAAAAGGTTGTTAATACCTTCCAACAGCCCAAAATTACATCTTTAAATAGCTTGTTTTGTCTTACAAACAGTCCAAATGTCAGTTGCTATCCCTTATCACAAAGATAAAGCAGCTATGCCCATTTAACAAACTAAAACCAACAAATGTTTGGCAGTTGTGCTTGAAAATTAGTAATTCATCAAAAAATTTGCAGATACATTATCTCTCGGAAATCTGTGTAAAATTGTTCCATTCAACTCTATATGCGTTGTGTTTGAATCTTATGTGTTTTTTCAGTTGTGTGTGTGCATGTGGTAGTACACATGTGGCGTGTACTTTTTGTGGTGGTACACAAGCTACACATTTAACATGACAGACGCCTTCCTAAAACCCGACTCCTGAAAAAACAGACCTGAACTCAGGCATTCTTCTCTGCTCACCCTGTCAGCCTCCACAGTGCTGTAGTCCGTCCTTCAGGCTTTAATGACAACAACAACCACTTCCATCTCTATGGCTCTCTCTCCCACTCAATTATCCCCTCCCCATCACTTTCTCTTGTCTGTGTCATCCTCCCCATTTTCTCTCTCAATCTTTGCCTTTCTGCTGTCTTTAAGTGAATTCCTCTTCAAAAGCTTGTTTCTGAAAGGTTGTATGCAGCCTTTACAGACCCCCCCGAGGGTCTTCATCTTCCTCCTTTTTGTTGCTCTTCTTTCTGTCTCTCTCTTTCCTCGTTTTTTATTCAATCTCCTGTGCCCCTAGCACAGCCACGACAGAAGCAACACACACACATACCCAAAATGACACACACACAACCCACTGTATCAGAGGCAAGTGAATGGCTCGCTGGGAAAGTCAAATGTGATGTTATCCCAGCAAATACAATCTCTGGAGATGTGGTGCCAACCAGAGAGCCTAAAAGGGCACCGGGGCTTCTCAGAAACGCAGACAATCACACAAGCTAACTGCTCTGCTGATCACCTCGATCCCTCATTCCAACATATTTTTTTATCAACTGGCAGAAAGCCAGAGTGACTTTGTGTGTGTGCAAATTGCATGTTTGTGCGTATCATTCTGTGCATGGGTGTGCGGTGTCTCAGAAAAGTGAGTACACACCTCACATTTTTGTAAATAATTGATTATATCTCTTCATGTGACAACACTGAAGAAATGAGACTTTGCTGCAATGTAAAGCAGTGAGTGTACAGCTTGTATAAAAGTGTAATATTGCTGTCCCCTCAAAATAACACATCACACAGCCATTAATGTCTAAACCGCTGGCAACAAAAGTAATTACACCCCTAAGTGAAAATGTCCAAATTGTCTGTCCCCTGTCTGGCCCGGTGACAAATAAATTTAAATAAATAATAAAACAGACAAAGGAGTATATTAATACTCTCTTGTTAAAGTAAAATCTGTCTGGCACAATATGGTATCCAGCCCCTCATACTCTATACCAGGCTGCAGGGCAGGACAAGTTTTTTAAAAATCAAACAAAAAAAACTAACAAATTGGGGCCAAAGTGTCAATATTTTGTGGCCACCATTATTTTCCAGCACTGCCTTAACCCTCTTGGGCATGGAGTTCACCAGAGCTTCACAGGTTGCCACTGGAGTCCCCTTCCACTCCTCTATGACGACATCACTGAGCTGGTGGATGTTAGAGACCTTGCGCTCCTCCAACTTCTGTTTGAGGATTCCCCACAGATGTTCAATAGGGTTTAGGTCATGCTTGGCCAGTCCATCACCTTTACCCTCAGCATTTTTAGCAAGGCAGTGGTTGTCTTGAAGGTGTGTTTGGGGTCGTTATCATGTTGGAATACTGCCCTGCGGCCCAGTCTCCAGAGGGCGGGGATCATGCTCTGCTTCAATATGTCACAGTACATGTTGGCATTCTTGGCTCCCCAGTGCCGGCAGCACTGATGCAGCCCCAGACCATGACACTCCCACCACCATGCTTGCCTGTAGGCCACACATGCTTGGCACCATCTGAACCAAATAAGTTTATCTTGGTCTCATCAGACCACAGGACAGGGTTCCAGTAATCCATGTCCTTAGTCTGCTTGTCTTCAGCAAACTGTTGGCTTTCTTGTGCATCATCTTTAGGGTGCCATGTTGAACTTCCCGTGATTAGTATGAGGGAGTATGAGAGCGATGACACCAAATTGAACACACCTGCTCCCCATTCACACCTGAGACCTTGTAACACTAACGGGAAAATGGCTAATTGGGAACAATTTGGACATTTTCACTTAGAAGTTTTCTCACTTTTATTGCTAGCGGTTTAGACATTAATGTCTGTGTGATGTGTTATTTTGAGGGGACAGCAAATTTACACTGTTATAGAAGCTGTACACTCACTACTTTACATTGTAGCAAAGTGCCATTTCTTCAGTGTTGTCACATGAAAAGATATAATCAAATATTTACAAAAATGCGAGGGATGTACTAACTTTTGTGAGATACTGTATATGTGTGTACATGCTTGTCTTGCGCTGCCTGTTTGATAATGCTAACCAGGCATGATGGACTCTATGCAATGTGGAGGAATGAACGGGCACAATAACTCAATAACAACTTGAGGCCTCATTCAGTGAAATCACTTGAATGATTTTGTTTCCGCTGTGTTGAGACTGTACAATAGAAGCCTTGTTCCTGTGATCACTGGAGCCTAATAGTTCAATTATATTCTGCATATATTTGTGCTTGGGTTGGGGAAAGAGCTTTTTTTTATATTTATGTTTATGTTTTTAGAGCCCCATAAAGCACAAAAATAATGCAATACATGACAGTCATAGCCTGGTAAAAGACACAATTTAAGGACTAAAAGACAGAAAAAACAAATGAAATGAGCTGTATCAGAACAATATTGGGCTATAAATATAAATGAGCAAAATACTGATATTGATTGCATTTTTGTTGATTGAAATCTCTGCATTTTGAGGTTGATCATTTTAAATGAGTTTGGACACACAATATCTCCACCCTCAGTTTTAATCTTTTTACATCAACAATGGGTTAAATGACTTTGTGCAATGTGAAGGATGTTGCTCTTAATGTCAAACCCTCAGAGAATTATCACCTGACTCTGCAGTTGCCCTCAGTTATAAAGAGCATCTTTCCGGTCATTGTTGTTTAATGGCCCTCAACTGTACTGTTTTGGTTCAGTCTCAACGCTTTCATTGTCACCATTTTTACAGCAGCAGCACTCAATTAAAAGCTTTCAATAAACAGACAAATGGCAGACAGACAGACAAACATAACATTTAGCCTTTAAAGATCCAGATATTTCCCTTTGGAGTAGGTGTTGACCAGAACACAGGTAAAATGAAAATACTTGACTTCACCAGTGTTTGAAGAGGAAAACACTAAGTCCCAGAACTCCCCTTATTTGCATGTTGCCGTGTACCCCCACCCAAACACATACAACTTGTACAAATGAGTGTATTAGTACAATGCAGCAGTTTAAATACACAACCAACATTTATATTGTTAATTACTGTGTTTTGTTCTTTATTAAATCCATGTGCAAGGAAATGGGCTGGTAGTTAGTCCCTAATATGTTCAACATTTGAAAGTTTGCTGTAGCTGGTCAACATTTACCCCATCCAGGCTGTAATTGGTCGGTTCACAAAAAGTGACAATGACCAGAAACAAAAGTTGAAAATGTTTCAACAAAAGGTACCCAATAAGGTTGCCCTTAATTCCTTTAAGTGTGTGACACAAATGATCTGTTGACTTTGTGCCCTTGTAGAGCCAGGCTTTGTAAAGTTTATATAATTTTACTTAGACTAGCCGCCGACAGAGAAAGGCAGGCAGACAACAATGGGAATAAGTGAGAGTAATGTAGTGCACCATGGGTAATGCAGTTTATTTAGGGCTATTTTGAATCGCCTAGGGAACCTGATATGGAGTGGGCAGAAAAGAGTGCCAGCAGCTTCACGGAGTAAAAGGTAGAAGTGCCGGTAGTGCGTACCGGTGAATACCAGACCATTTCAAGCACTTGACTTCAACAGGTAGCCAGAAATAAGTCCACTAATGAATGTTGTTGTCGCTTTGTATGTGATAGATGTGTGAAAAAAATCCGTAATGCCATATCATCTTTTTAAGGTGATAATATGTCAGCATTATTTTCAACTCATAGCACTGCCCCCAACTGGACAAAACTAAATCAGTTTTAAGTTATAATAATCATAATTTCATCCATCCACTAGTCAGAGTAGCAGCCTTCCCTTTGTTTGTCCTTTTTCATCCTCACCACCTTACAGCATTTAGTCAGCTGAGGTCTGCCCCCCATGGAGGGTGGAGTTAAATACAGCCTTGCTCCTCAAGGCTCATGTGTTCTGAAGTAACCCATTAATCATGTTGCCATAGCGGGGGTGAGTGAATGAGTAGGATGCTTGTAAGACACAGAGGCCAGGCCTGAGAGCGAGTCTGTCAGCTACAGCCTTGCATAATGAGGGCTAATGATCGAGAAGCATGGACATACCTGTCCGGTCTACTCACATTAGAATGAATGAAGAGCTGTGAGGCTGATCTCTTGTATGCTATGTCCTGTGTGTGTGTGTGTGTGTGTGTATGTGGGGATCTCTGAAGTTATTTAATCACATTAGTGATTTGCACTGCATTTTCTCAACCTCCTTCCTTACACACAAATGTTTCTTACCAACGTTTCTGTGGCTATTAACAGTGGATTGCTTATGTCTCTGTCTGTCGCTCCCAGGCTGTGAGCCCTGTGCAGGGTGGTGATGAGCACTCAGGGCAGCAGCAGCAGGGGAAGTGGCCAGCATGCTGACACTCCTCCCCCTCGTCACGCCCCTGGACCTAAGCTGCAGGTGCAGCGCTCCCTCTCTCGTGACACTATCACCATCCACTTCTCTGCTCTGGGGAAGGAGGAAGATGATGAGGACGAGGAGCTCTACGGGGTACCTGTTGCATCTGTTGGGGATAAATCTGGGCTTGGTAGTGCAGGGGGACTTCAAGGTTTAGAAGCTTCAGGGGCTGATGACCAGTCTATCACTACGGGCTTGGAGGCAAAAGAAGAACTGCTGTTTGAATCTGCTGGTGTGGAGACCTCAGGAGTTGCGGTGCTTCCTGTTTCATCCACCACCCTATCTTTGCAGCCCTCAGACCCTGATCCACACACACCCTCTCTCGCCATGACTATTATCCCCACCTCCACCCACTCCCACCTGAGCTCCAACCCTCCTGCGAGCTCCTCCTGGCCCTCTGACCGACCCTCAGCCAATCCGCCGTCCACAAGCTCCAGCTCCTCCCCTTGCAAGTCTGCAGCGCTGACCTCCTCCAAACCTTTCCTCAGCCTGGTCAGGTCCTTGTCCAATGATGTTGAGTCTCGAGAAACCACTCCTGCGCCTACCACTGTTGCACCATCACACGCACGCCACCGTCACTTAATGAAATCTTTTGTTAAGTCTCTTTCCACGGACACTTCAAAGGCTGAACATCAAGAAGGGCCTCTTCATCACTATCTTCATCATCCCCCTCAACAGCAACAGCAAGGACAGCCATCCCATCGGCCTCCACCTCGCAACATGCAGCTCTTCAAACAGTTCTCTCAGCCTCGCTTATCCTCCTGCCCCGTCATCGTCACTCAAGCAGGTGGAGACTCCAAAACAGCCCCCTCTTCCCCCATAATGTCCCCAGATGGTAGGTCTTTCTTCAAGGTCCAAGAAGTGGAGGCCAGAATAGAAGATACCAGGCGGCGGCTGTCAGAGGTGATGTCAGACCCCCTGCAGCTTTTTAGTAAGATCATGGGGGACGAGTCTGGCATGGGAGCTGGTGGAAGTGCTACTCATCGGGCCAAATCGCTGTCCTCCAGTGCATCAGAGCTCAGTGGGGTGACAGCAGTAAATGGACATGCAGAAGGTAACAGCAACTATAGCATCAAGGAGGAGGAAGGGGCAGAAGGGGAAGAAGAGGAAGAAACCCCCACGGGTAAGGGCCCTGACTCTGTTTTTTTCTCCTTACCATCACAAGCACCAGCCCCACCCCTCATCCAGGCCTCCTCATCCACGTTCCCAAAGTCTCCTTCTCTAACCCTGGGCCGCTGCTCTATGTCGGCCCTGGTAGCGAGACAGGAAGACGAGGACTTCTGTGAACTGTACAGTGAAGACTTTGAGTTGTGTACCGATACAGAAACACCAGATGGGGATCGCCCTGGGTACCAGCAACCTCATACTGGCAGCGCTGGGTTGTGTAGTGAACTTGACACAGAGGAGGAGGAGAAAGAGGAGGAGGAGTTGGAGACTCTGCCTGTGACTGGCCTCATCTTACTGACACAGTTGGTGTACTGGTATTTAGTCCTCCCAGTGCCACCATATGTGTGTGCAGTAGTGCATGGGATTGTAGCTGGGTTCATGTTGGCCTTGCTGGTACTTTGGCTGTCCTCTCCTCGATGCTCCTCATCAGGGACAAGAAGAGGGAGGCGAAGGATAGAGCCCTGGAATGTGGCTCAGCTGGATATCAAAGAACCAGGAATCTTCAAGGTAAGACAAAGCATGGCATGGATCGCCAAGTTTGGGCATGTTGCTAGATGACTTCAAAATGTAAACTTGTTTTCTTTAACTCTGTGTAAGCTTTTGGATATTGTTTTCTAGCATGTGTTCTTACTTCACTGGCTCTAGGACTACCATTAAGGTCTTGCTCTGCTGCACTATTATCAATTACTTACAAACTCAATTTCACTCTGTAACCTGTAGTGACAAAATAAATCTACCTACCTGCCTAATTTCACATTTAAGCTGCACACTTTTTACTTTTTACACTTTTTCCTCACAGATTTTAATGACAAAACAAACAAACAAACAAAAACACCATGTTCCATTTAGCCAAGGGTCAAACTATAGAGATAAAATATATATGATTTAGCCTCACAGGTTTTACACATGCATTTGTTAGCATTTGTACGATATATGGCTGTGGTACTCCATTTATTTTACGCATTTATGGAGAAATTATCCAAAGTGAGAATGCCATACAGTGCACAAAATGCAACACTTCTGTGTTTGTTTACTATCAAGCTAAATTGTAATAGGCAGGATTGTTGTCCCCAGGAGGTTTGTTTTGTATCTTTTAGACAAATATAAAATAGCCAAGCACTGAAATTTCCCCTGTTGTTTCTATTGATTTGGCTTTGCTCACAGAGCCTCCTTTGAGGCTGATACGGTGGGAGTTTGGATGAGAATTAAACTCTATTCAGCCTCATGGGAACTGGCAGCAACATATAGGGTTTATATTGCACTTTTTCTCCTGTGACAGCTACAGTTTAGCTTTGAACCACACATTTGAATGAGAGCGCCACCACATTTGCCCCCTGCTCTCAGTTAACTGCACCTAGTGCTGTAGAAACTACTCTAGAAGAGAACTGTTTAGTAGTTTGAGGTATTTATGTAAGCATGTGTACTTGTGTGTGTGCCTTAGTGTGTACCAAGCTGTTGCACAGGAGAGCCTCATAACTAGAGGGCACAGCTGTTCCAAAAGAGTAGCTCTGCACTTGTGCAGAACATGATACACTCATATAATAGACCCTGGAGCACCCAAGTGCAGAGGAACTGCAGTGGGGACAAACTTTCCTCTTTCTCTTCATCTTTCTCTTCCTCTAAGGATCAACAAAGGGCCTGTGTTTCAGATGCCCCACTTTATCTTTTGTTGTTTTATATGAAATCTGTGGAAATAATATCATTTGATTATGATTCTAGGGATGTTTACTGATGACAACAATTGGTGGACAGAAATGTTGTATCCCTACAGATTAGAGTAGAGACCAACACTAAATTGTGTTATTAGGTCATCATTTATATATTGGTTATCGGCTTCAATGTTGGCCAATATGCTGTAGGCTACAGAGAATGCCAAAAACAAACAAATAAATCCACCACCAAAGAGACAGACATAGATAGTCATACTATCATGCTATCTCCTGTCATCCCTCAATGAACATATGCACAATAAACATTGAACAGAGGAGATTTCAGACACCATGGTACATGGGAACACATGCTAGCTATAAAAATAACAATAAAAACATCCTTGGTGTTTGACTGGGAGTCTGGTGTATGTATATGTCCTGTGGGAGTACATTTTGAGTCATTGTGAAGTAAAACTCTTCCCCTCTCCACCCCCTCAAACTCTCAGGGCTGGATGAATGAGATCCACAACTACGACCCGGAGATGTACCATGCCACGCTGACCCACTCCATTTACATCCGTCTAGAGGGCTCCGTACTGCGTCTGTCTAAGCCCAACCGGAACATCTCCCGCCGTGCCACACACAACGAGCCTAAACCTGACGTCACCTACGTCAGCCAGAAGATCTATGACCTGACCGACAGCAAGGTGTGTTGTTTGTGGCTGTATGCAGGAAATGACAATTATAAGAGAGATGCTGTAGTTATATCTTTCGGTGTGTGCTTGTGAAATATTCAGCGTGTGATGAAAGGTCAAAATGAGTGGGATATTAATGTGTTAAGTGCGTGCCTCTGCCAGCTCCCCAGTATATTTGTGTGCTTGATGATAAGATTAACAGATAGTGACATCAAGCACACGTCCTCTCAAATTTGCCCTTGCCTGAGTGCATGCTTGCTAATAGGTCATGTTCAGTGACAAAGCTACTCAGAGTCACATACTGTATGTAAACACGGAGTGAATATCACAGGTCATTGACCCTGTACACACAACTTTGTGTCGTGTGAATAAGTGTGCTGACTCGAAGGTTTTGTATATCTGAAGGCTGGACAGTAAGAAGACATTTCTCCTGTCATTGTATCATGGAGCAAAAGGGTCATTAGTGTTGTCTTCATATGCTAGATTCTCTCTTCTGGAACTGACGGCTCCGTAAATTTTCATTTCACCATCATTATTGTGGCTGTGTAGTCTGTCTTGAATGTTACCTGCATTTAGAGAAGCTAGATTACACATAATAATGTCATATAACGACGTATTTTTTCTACTCACACAGTCAAGGTCTGATTGTTTTGACTATTCGGAGATGCATTACCTCCCCCACACCATAATACCACATGGCTACACCCCCAGATAACAACCCTGCAATGCCAATATTTTAGCAATTTTAATATCAAAGTTGTGTTAAGCTGGAGCAAAAATGTGTGCGTGAAAGAATGAATGTAAACTAAATTGCATGAACCATTACGACATGCTGTACAACATGGAATAATAGCAAGTGCTAGCTACATTCATCATTAACAAAAAATGATGCTGGTCTAATACAAATTAAGCTTTGAGTTAGATAAATATAAGTACATACTAGATGAGTCACTTTTACTCCTGCCTGCATTGTTATCTTTGGTTTCTATTTTCAAAAATTTCAAGCCCCCAATTGCTGCCACTCACACCCTGGGGCAAGTCTGCCACATACTATTTGTAATCTCAATGTGCCCTACAGTTGATCTCGGATACTTTTGTTTTTGTTTTTCTCCTGCCACCAAAACAATAACAACAACAAAACACTCTTATACCATCATCTTCATGCGTTTGATTATATGGTCCATATGCCCCCATAGATCCAGCTGGTGCCCCAAAGCTTGGCTAGAAAGAGAGTTTGGAACAAGAAGTATCCAATTTGCATTGAGCTGGCCAAGCAAGAGGACTTCATGTCCAAGGCCCAAGGAGAGAAGCCCGAAGCTGGGGAAGACAAATTGACAGGGCTGGGTGAGAAGCTAGAACGATCAGACAAATGCGAGAAAGTTGAAGTATCAGGATCAGCAGAGGAACCCAAAAGGCCGTCCTCTGGTGGTGGGGATCTAACAATCTACCTGTTTGGGAGGACGGGTCGGGAAAAGGAAGAGTGGTTCCGGAGATTTCTTCTAGCGTCCCGAATGAAATCAGAAGGGAGAGGTGGCAGTCTGCCTAGCATCTGCAAGAGTGGTGAGTTTGAGACTCTGTAGAGTGTATCAGACACCAAGATGCACACAGTCATGCATGCACTAAATTTATTACCTGTCTCTCTCACCCTTTCCACACACTTACTGTATCTGCACAGACACACATCACTTCCCAGAGTCAGAATAACCATTCTCTTGAGTATGTAACTGCACAGCCATCAGATCTGTGCATAAGCCTCAGCTTAGGGACCGGCAATCCCCTCAACTGAGCGAACAGATGAGTGTGAATGGGTCAGCAGGATTACATGCACAGAGAAGTAGCATATTAAAGCATTGTACTCCACTGTGGGATATAAGCCTGCAAGGAGAAGGCCCAATTCAAAGGAAAACACCAGCATTGTGAGGGTCCAGTGATAAAGGTAGCGCAGGATGAACAGGATTACTGGAAAGATTATTTAAGGAGGTGGTATTTTCAGGTTCAAAATCTTATTTAGGGGTTGTACCAGAACAGGTTTACATGGTTTAATTTTCATACTGCACATTGCTGTAGCTCCTGTTTTCACCCTGTGTTGAAGGCTTCGTTTTAGCTGTGGAGTGATACATGATCTTTGTTGAGAGTTGTACATGTGCAGTTCCTAGTTAAGGACTACTAGCCAATCAGAAGCAGAGAAGGGCAGGTCAGTGAGAAGCAAGTAAACACGGCTTTGGTTCAGCTGTACATGTTGCGGACCAGATTAGCAACATGGACTGGAGCAAGAGTTTCTCAGTGGTGAGTTATTAATCTGTAACAAAAGTATCTTTCATCCATAAAGTTTTAACTGAGCTCTTTCTCTATATCACAGTAACAACTTTATGTCCACTGAGTGTCTGGAGGTTGCCTAGTGTTTGGAAGGGAGAGGAGAGGTGTGTGCTGCAGCTCAGTGTTTCTCCACCGGTGTTTTTGAGGGCGTGTCGGAGTAGCCGCTTAGCGAGCATTATATGACGCGCATTTTGCTTTTATTCCTGTGACGTCACAGGGATGAAAGGCAAGCGGCTGGACTACAAATGAGCTGTTTTCAGGCAGTTCAGAGCAGAGTTTTCTGTGGGAGATGGGAACTCCCTTTGGGCTGGACTTTGGGCTTCTTCACCCTGCAAACCTATTACATGCATAAAAAAGATATAAACTCAATAAAGGAGAGGGAAAAAGGCAAAAAGCATAATACCACCTCTTTAAATATCAAGCTGTTTTGTGGATATACATAGCAATTACATATGACTATTTCAGTTCTAATGTGAGTCAGAGAGAAGATGAAGTGTGTCATCCTGTGTAAAGCATGCTGATGTTGCGGTACATTGCGAGAAATGAATAAAAAAAAGATGCTTGAGCATGCATTATTTATGTGAAATATGAAGCATTGATTGGAATCAGTAAAAAAATGTTGTTGATGCATAATTGTGTCACATTAATCTCCCGTTACTCTTTACATCCTGCATTCCCCCTTCTCCACTTTCAGCCTTCCTGCCCTCCCACAGCCGCAGTAGCAGCACCCAATCTGGTGGAGGCCTGGAGGCTGACAGCAGGAGCAGCAGCCGGGGAAGCCTGGAGGAGCTGTCTCAGTCTCGCCACAGAGAGGCCTCTTCTGCTCTCTCCTGTGGCTCTACTGGAGGGATGAAGCAAAAGATGCTGTTGGACTATAATGTCTACATGGCCAAATATGTAAACGCCCAGGCACCACAGAGAAGCCCAACTGCCACCGACAGCCCTGGGCACAGCCCTGAGAGCAGCCCCAAAACTACCAAAAAGGTAGGAGATAGAGAGTCACATGAAAGGCTAGAAAGAAATGCACAACCAATCAGGCAAAGTGGGCATCTGCCCAGAAGCACTTGGCTGTCTTTTGGAACCACTGGTTGTGCCTATGTAGTGCTATGGAGCAATGTTCAGTCCCCTCCAGGATTTTGCAGGCCTTTTTTGTAATTGTTGTGGCCTAAAATGTCTGATTTTGCGGCAGCTTTTCAAAAAAATTGCGATGAAAATTGGGATGTTTTGGGGCCTTTTTTGCGATGAAATTGTGGAAATAAGTGAAAACTGCAAAGATATGTGATTATTTTTAACATTAGAATTATAGTGGAATCATTAAACAGTCTCTCCAGGATTTTAACCACGCATATTTAAACCAACTTTCACAGCACACGTCTGCTCCGTCTTGTAAAGAAGGAAGTGACAAGCTGATGTATGTCAACATTTTGCGGGAAACGGCTATGATAGGTCAAATATGTGGAGAAGTTGCGTCAATTGGTCAAAATAGCAAGATGCACTGAATTCACAAGGATTTGTTGAATTTGTGTCAATACTTACAATTGTGAAATCCTGGAGGGACTGAATGTTTTTCTGAACGTGCCCCCGTTTTGTTTGTATTGTTATTCTGCTGATTTAGTGGTATTAACACAGAAAAGAAAACAAAGGGAAGAAAGGCAAAGCACTGAACATCTTGTTTTAACACGTGATTTGTCTTGATAATGACACCCTATCCACAGGCCTTTGTATTTATACCTGGTTTTGATAGGCATTCTTGTTATCTTCATGCTGCCCGCATTGTGACTGGATTGTCAACAGACGTCCCAGGTCAAGGAAAGCAATACCATGGACGGGCGTCATTCACTTTTTTTTGCAGTGTGAGACATATAGATACTGTTTTTACTTGTAGCTTTTCCTGGACTTGCTTAAGCTAGCAGGAGGAGGCAGAGTTAGGTGGCCTTTCAACTTGCTGGGATATTTTATTTCTTAAGAATGTGTTCACGCTGTGGGCCTATAGATTGCAAATACACTTTACCTTAACATGCATTTTTTTCTTATCCAAGGAAGATGTCCAAATACTATATGTAATATACAAACAGAACTTTTGTCTGTTTACAAGAAACTCCACAGAGTACCTTTAATCTTGTGGAAATGTCATGTGTAGAGGCCCTGGCTCAAAATCGAGTTTTTATATTAGGAATTTCAACAGGGGAGGTTAAAAGGGGCACAACAGCAAGCATGTGCCCTGTGTCTACCTAACAGGTTATTTCGGCCTTGAAAGTAGATGGAGCCTGGCTCAAACCCAGGCTTGAAATAGACTGTTATTATACGTGACCAGAACCTATTTGCTTCATTTTATGTCAAGAATATTAAAGCTACAGTATGTGTGTCCTTCAGATACGCAGGATTTCAGAGGAGACTGTGGAGCCTGAGGCCTGGCTCAATGCTTTTCTGGGAAGGACATTCTGGGACTTCCTGGGAGAAAAGTACTGGGCCAATGTGGTCTCCAAAAAGATCCAAATGAAGCTCAGTAAGATCAGGGTGGGTACTGGTACTAGCTTTCACAAATATACATCTACCATATAAGTAACAAATCATAAAAAAATCTCTGTGTTTTAACTGCATCATTTTAAGAGACACTTTTGTGTCGTTGATTTCTGTATTTCATGTGTTTTTTGGTGTCAGCTGTAGCTAAGTCTGAATGTCTTTGTTTTAACTGTTTTCTGTGTTTCAGCTGCCGTATGTTATGAATGAGCTGACTTTGACAGAGCTAGACATGGGCTTTTCCATTCCTAAAATCCTCCATGCCTCCAAACCATCTGTGGACCACCAAGGTAGGAAGAGAAGCTAAACTAAGTATGTCATGTTTTTCACACAGTGTCCTGGATGGTCTGATACAATAGACATTTATTATCTTTCTGCCATCAGTCTTCTTCCCCTTCCTGTGAGAGTTATCCCTCTTGCTTTTCTGACAGAATAGTGAGACATGCTCTCACTCTGCTTTCATCTTCAATCTATCCATCTCCTTCATCTCCCTTTCCTACCATTCCTTAATTTTCCCTTAAACTTTGCTCTTCTTCTCTCTGGATAAAGACATTTCCTCCCCTTCTCTCTCTCTCTCCTATGGAGTCCAGCCCCTCTGCAAGCCTCGCTCTATTAAGCCACAATAATTAAACTTCACGTCTTGGGTCCCCCTCATCCATTACTGAGACACTGACTCGCCCTGCCTGCATTGAGCTCCAGCAAAGGAACTGGGACACACAGAGACAATACAGAGATTTGAGGTGTATTAACGTCTACTGAGGTGGCTGTAAATTTAGAAAAGAGTAGCTTAAGAAGGGGGAAGAGAGGAACAGTTTGTGGGAGGTGTGTTTCAATCATTAGTGATGCTTTTAAGCAGAGAGCAAAGCGAGGGATGAGTAGATTGCCACATTTAAAATTTTCTGTCCTCGTTTTTGAGGTATTCAGGGTTTGTCCAATGATGGTTTAGTCTAAATTGATCTTGATCTGAGCATTGACAATGTATTACATTTTGCTATTCAGCTGAAGGAGCCAGCCATGAGTCATTCTCCTGTCAGACACATTTCCACGGCTGAGTCTGCAGTGCTCATTAATGGTGTTCTTTCTTCACCTATACACCCACAGAAATATACTCGCATGTCATCATTAGTTGATCCCAGCACATAATTAGTCCCGGGGGAATGGCATCTCTACAAGTGCTGCACTGTAAATCTGCATGAACTGAACAGGTTGCATTTCCTTCAATAGTAACACAACTAATTTCATCCCATGCAGATTTCTTTTATCATGCGCTGGCAATACTAAAGATAGTGAGAGTGCTTCCTGACTCCTTAATGTTGGGAAGACATGATTTGATTTACAGTGTTTATACTGTACTCCAAGAACTACTGAAGGCACACAAGCAGAGTGCAGAGCTCACATATATGATATAATATATTTTATTTTTATTCAGTATTTAGACATAGATTATGTAACCATGTTTAGTACGTAGACTGTAGAGTTTAGTATGACTATCAAATCTACTACACTATCGATAAGATTAGACATAAAATATGATTGGGTGATATTAGTGGTTGAGGGAAAATCAGACAGTGTGTGGCTCTATGAGACTGTAACACTCATTGTAATGAAAACCAGAGCGTTACATAGATAAATTTTAATGGTGCAAAATGTGTTTTGGATCTAGCAGTCATGCTGAAGTAAATGTTATTTATATGGCCAGAGGGTGGTGTCAGAACAAAGATATCTGGCACCTTATATCAGAAGAGCGTATCTTGTTATGAGCATGGAAATGTTAAGACACTTGTGACAGGATTCTAGTTTATTTGTGTGAGGATGATGTAAGCTGAAGGGTCATCATGGAAAGTGCAGTGTTGGGTGATCAAAGATGGGAATTATGAGCCAGAGAGATATAAGAAATAGTCTTTTTTTCATGTTTAGGCATGAAGTGTGTAATATGAATAGTAATGATTGTGTCACCTCTGTACAATCTCTGTTAGTATGCTAACATTTTCTAATTAGCACAAAGTACAGCTGAGGCTGATGGGAATGTCATTAAGATTCATCATTTGGGCTCCATAAATACTTGCACCTAAGGTTATGGCAATCCATCCAATAGTTGTTGAAAAGGGTTGAAACTGAGCGACCAACACATCAACATTACTGTCCATAGAGCATAAGCAGAAATCATTAATGTGGATATGATGCCCAAGCATCAGTTCCACAAATTAATTTCTCTATGCTTCAAAAAAAAGACAACATATAAGGTTTATATTACAATAAGCTAGATTCAGTATCTTGTCTCATATAATATTGCTGTTATAGTGATATATTTCCCAGGTCTATGTAGAAACATGTATTATGTCAGCGGTGCAGATATGTTGACTCCTCCAAAATTAATCAGGCACTCCATACTTTCTCTCCATCCCGTGTGTCTTGGTCCAGACAGAGACAACAAGACACTGTCTTACATGGTCTAACTTAATGCTGTCATTTAGCTTCTCTCTGATAACACTGCCGCACACATACAAATCAATGAGCACTTACAGAGAGGAGAAGGAGCGAGGCAGAGGATTAATAAGCAATACTTACCAGTTGTGGAAGTTAGGCTTCATTGAGCAAACAGCAGGGGGGTCAAAATCCAAATTGTTCTACCGTCGCCTCCTGAGAAGTGTGTTGTGTTAACAGGAAGTAGCCTGATGAAGTCAGCCAGTAAGGAGGCCGCTGCACTAGAGCTGACCTTTTCAGTGTTTTCTAGAGGATAGGTCTTCCTCCTGGCAGCTCTGCAGGGGACCTCACAGCAATTAGACACCAGGCAGGAGGTTCTTGTTTATTCATAGAAATAACATTCGGAGTTGGTCGCTTTTGATGCTGCCGTGGTGCTGTTAGGGATGTAGAGTGATTTTAATATTGAAACATAATATGCTGGTGTCTTTCGCTCACTGTCCTTTCCAGGTCTGTGGTTTGACCTGGAGATCTCCTACGCGGGCTCCTTCCTCATGACACTAGAGACCAAGATGAATCTGGCCCGTCTGGGGAAGGAGGGCGAGGGGCTAAGGGAGCACGGAAAAGAGTGGTAAGGCATTCGATTGCATTTAGTAATCTCCTCTTATAAAGTTTTTAATGAAGCTAAGTCTGATTTTAAATGCTCACAGATTTTTGAGAGTGATCCTTACCAGCTTGTCCTCAATTCTCTGTTTGTTCTTGTCTTTTGTCATGTAATACTTCCTCAGTGATTAGGCCAAAATAGGATGTTTGAAGGATTAGCTTCTTTTTTTTTTACTAAACAAACAGCTCTGAGCTGGGTGTTAATTTGGTAGATTTGCATTTAGAAACATGTTCGTTGTTACATCTGTTTGTTTTTTTTTCACAATTCCTACCCTTTGTCTGTTGGCTCTTCCTCACTTCTCTTAATATACTAATCCTCTCTCTGGACGCTTACCACTGTGGATTTGTCCAGTGACTGGTGAGTTGGGAATAGATGCCCATAGATGCCTGTCACTGAAACAATAAATTATGTTCTGAATTACACTTTCTTTTCTTGAGGGAATCATTGGAGTTTAATTTCCTGTGATTTATATCCGTAGGGGATGCATTTAATGGGAATTAGTTTTAATTGTTAATGGCTCTGCCCAAAGCCATTAGAGCCTGACTTTGCAACAATGATTGTGTGTTTGTGTGTGTGACAGGCCCAGGCCACGGACATACTGTCTGGCAGACAGCGATGAAGAATCGTCTAGTGCTGGCTCATCAGATGAGGAGGATCCCCCAGAACTCCTGAGTGACAAAGCCATTCTTCCTGGAGGCGAGGGGTGAGCAAATGTCTCTTTACAACAACATCATCACGCCTCTGAACTGAAAATGGGCAGAAACAGATTCACACTGATGTGTTGAAGCAGAATGTTCTGCCCTTTCAGTCCACCTGTCAACCCACTTATTCCCACATGTTTGAAAGCCTGCTGCTGATTTAATGAAGCACCCAGTCACTCCCCTCTATCGTGGGTGCTGAGTAGCAAGAGATGCCGTTATGAATAAATGATGAACCTGACTCAGTCCTTGCCCCCCTCCCCCCTCCTCCGTTTCCATCCTCTGCTCACGTAGCTATGTGGGAGGCCACAGGCCCAGCAAGATCATGCGGTTTGTGGACAAGATAGCCAAGTCGAAGTACTTCCAGAAAGCTACGGAGACAGAGTTCATTAAGAAGAAGATGGAGGAGGTGTCCAACACGCCGCTGCTGCTCACCGTGGAGGTGCAAGAGTGCCGTGGGACGCTGGCTGTCAACATCCCACCTCCTCCCACGGACAGGATATGGTACGTTCATTTCCATGGAGGAGTGCATAGAAGGCTGTGGGATGTAGTCAGTGACTGTATGGGAATTCTGGCTATAACTCAGCGCCCTCTGCTGGGCAAATACAGACATGTATAGTGTCTGTATTTGCCCAATCATAAGTTTTAACTAAATTTAAGAAAATGAGAGCACAAAGGTATGTATTTTCATTAAAGACAAGTAAAGTACACACTGTACTTTATAAATATAACTTAAATATGTTAAATATCTAATAATAATGACCTTCATCAGCATCTACAGCAGTTATTCCCAACAACATGTGACTTGTGACCTCTGAAGGGGTACCAAGAAAAATCTGATTTGATTAGACCAGATGATTGAAAGAACAAGAAAACAAATATTTCTGTTACACAAAATTGTGTATATTTTTCACATTGTTGCCCAATCGTTTTCTTGGCAAATACTGGATACTTTTACCTCTTTGGCTGAACTACTCATGTCCACACTGAGGCTATGATCTGTGATGAGGGGCTTTGAAGTAGACTCAGTTCAAGGGTTAAGCATCATGGTGTTCTCTTGTTTTATTGAATTTAGTAGAATAAAAAGAAACAAAAAAGCCTGTTTTCATGAAGCCTGTCTAGGAACTCTAACTGCCATTCAGCTTGTATGAGATTAGGGTTATACTTTTTACCCTCATTGTTTTCTGTTGGCTGTCAGGTATGGTTTCCGGAGTCCGCCTCACATAGAGCTGAAAGCGCGGCCTAAACTGGGTGAGAGGGAGGTCACTTTAGTTCATGTGACAGACTGGATTGAGAAGAAACTGGACCAGGAGTTCCAGGTATACACTGAGGAAATACTGCAAACTGTGCATGCAAATGTTTAGTCATAACTACAATTTATTTACATTGTCAAATAGTGTATTTCAACTTATGTGTGGGCTAAAAACTTCAGTCGGCCTGAGAGGCTGAAGGTTTACGCAAGGACAAAGAAAGTACCCCCCCCCCCAGATGTTTTAGGGTGAGAATTTAGGTTATAAGAGTGGATTAATTTATGGCTGCCCACCTACTCGTGCTTCAAAGCAGTGTGGCTGTGGCTTTCCCACCCCTCATATATATCCAAAGTAATGCCTGCTGCAAGACAAGCACCCTGAGGCACACCTGCAAACTACTGTGTCCCTGTCAGGTCTAACACATCTATATTTATCCCTGCCTGACTCCACTGGGGGTTATTATTATGTGCAACCCCCCCCAAACCATGCCTCCAGTTAAATACAGTGCTGCAGTTGACAATTGTGACTGAGTGTATACATCTGGCTTTCAGCAAATGCTAAAGTGAGGCCTCATTGGTTTCCAGACAGAACAGTGTGTGGTTGGATGCACCAATGATGTATTCACGTCTCTTTTTCTGCAATTCTCAGATTGATATAATCTCATGCCACTGTCTTTATTTGGTATATTTCAGTTTCAAAAACATAATGATCAGTAGTTTCTGCTCGGTTCCCTTCACTAGACACTCGCAAAAGCTTCTAATTAGGCATATATCAGTGTCCTCCTCCTCTTTTATTGTTGAAATTATGATGACTGCTTGTTTTCTGTACTTGTCCTCCCGCAGAAAATATTTGTGATGCCAAACATGGATGATATATGGCTACCCATAATGCACTCTGCCATGGACACGCGTTCAAATGCCAACTTGGTTACTGTGACAGACGATGCCTTGAAGGACCCAGAACCCGAGGAGTCTGAGGTCTCCGACATGTGAAGAAGTGTTTGGCCTCAGACACCTCACAGGTGCAGCCAGGGGCCGGGGCCAACGGTTCAATATTTTTACCTGTCCCCCCAGTCCCACTTTTGCACCAGTCTGTGGCCACTCATAAGTGCACTCACAAAACTGAAAGTGCTGGCGAGCTTGTAATCATCTGTGGCAACTCCAGGCAGGACGACGGAAGAGAATCGTGACTCATAGACAGTTTTGTTTGTGTGACATCAAATACGGTTAATTCTCTGAAGAAACGCAATACATGGGACATGTCAAGACTTTTTTACAAATGTGCGTGGCGGTGGATGGACAAATAGCCATCAGATTCAACCAGAACCATAATACCTGTGATGTACAGCTGCACAAAACACAGTAGTGGTACAGTGTAAACCTTTTGTGCAACCTTTCTATTCGAGTGGTTTATTGTCGCTATAACTCTGCGAGAACTTTGAGGCCTACCAATGAAGAGTGTGTATGTTTTGAGTGAGGAAACATTTGAGGGAATAATCCTAAAAATTTGGAGATGACTTTGCTGAAAGCCCCTGCGTCCATTAATACACATTTCACAGGGATAGCAACTCTTTTACCCCCCATCCACACTGCTGCCTGTGTCAGCCGCCTGGCACTTTTATGCAAACAGATCAATGGCACTGTGTCCATTGAAGAAACTGGGGTCATTTTAAATCCAACATGGGCACTAACATAACATACAGTCTGTGTGCTTTTAACTGTGTTAGGGGATAGAACTAAAACTGGCTTCAGAAGGGTGAATTAAAACATATCTGCAAACACAGCAGCTGAACAATGCCTAGGTTTGATGAATGTATAAATGAGAACGCAGCAGAATAGCTCATTCACTGACAAAGTGCTGCTAAGCAACATGCTTCAAGACTTCTTTTCATGTTATATTCAGAGTTGAGCAAAAGTAATAACTTTCTGTTTTTATTGCCAAAGCAATCTTTCAGTCTTGTGTTAAGGCTACTATATGAGGTAAACAGTGACAAATAAGCAATCCAGTGATGTACAGCCTAAGTTTGGAAAATTGTAGCTAGATATATTATCAGGAGGGAGTGATGGGGGGGCAGCAGGCAACTGAAACCCTTCTCTGAACACGTAACGTGTCTTTATAGGTGAAAAGAGGGGGAAACAAACCCACTCTTCCTGTTTTATTTGAATAAATACCATACTGGATGTTAGCCATATTATTTAATGTCATCAGCCAACCAGCTAATGAATGCTCAATATTTTTGTTGTTGAAGTATTTATTGATTTGCTGTTCTTTCTGTACTGAACACATTTAAGAGTAACACCAATAAACTAGAACAGTAACTTTGTAATCTGCCAAGACACCTGTGCTGCTTTACAGGCGACTATTATTTTACATGTTTTACGTTCCAGTGTGTATAGGCAATGTGTATGAGGCAGAAAGTGCCTTTAAAATAATCAAAACATTCCTCCATAGTGAGCCGCCACATTTGTTCGATCAGTTGAAGGTAGAGAGAAAACATCTTTGTGCCATTACTGCTTCTGTCAAGACATGCCCTTTGTTTCCACAGGTTTTGGTGTTGTTTATTTGCAGTGATGAAAATATGAAACATTGTTGTGTTCAGTGATGTCACAGAATGTTATGGTTCTGATCGTTGTGGATCAATAAAACCGTTTGCTTGGAAAGAATGTGCAGCTTTGCCATTTTTAAATGTTCCTAAACAGTGTGCCTGTTTAGGGCTGCAACGATTTTCATTATTGACTAATCTGCAGGTTACTTGTTAACCTAGTCGATTAAAGATATCATTCATTTAAGTTCTTCTGCCTCCAAATATCTTGCATCCCATATGTAGAAGTAATTGCTCTGAGCTGCATTTTGATTGTGTCTTGCTTTAAAAGAGAGACTTGGTGAGAATTGCCAAGAAACTCCAGTTATGACAAGACATGCTATGATCTTGCACTACTCTTGACCCGTGTGAAGGGCCATGGAAAAGGCCCTTCAGGTTGAAAGTATAGTGCCTAAAAATCAATTTACCAGAATATGACAAGTGGAATGAAATGAGCAACAATACTGTGTTAACAAATGTTTTATTCACACAGGAGATTTGTTACATAATACAGTTAAAAAGAATCCATACATTTGTAAATCTTTCTGGTTTCAAACAATATACAGGAATGGATGTGATTGCATGTTAATTTATGAGAACTTTATGAACTGAACCCAGGGTCTCTGACACCAAAGGCATGCGTCTTTTCCATTGTGCCATTACCACCACTCACCTTGTAATTCACTGTGTCATGTCCATTTCTTGAGCATTGCAGTCAGATTGCTGCGGAAGAACAACTTTAAGTAAGCTTGGTTATTGAGACGCCACCAATTAAAGATATTGTCTTCAATGTTAAATCAGGAGTCTAACTCATCATGATCATTCATAACTGTTACAAGCCACTTTCTGCCCACTCTGGATACTTACTATAGTATACGGATATTCCAAGGATACATCCACACAGCCCATTTTCTGCATTCCTGTAAATAAATAGAAAGGTGTCCTGAGTGAATTTGATTGATGAACCACACAAAAGGCAGAGTGGTTGGTGTTTGTGGGTCAAGTCAGATTGAATATGTTGACTTCATTTTCACATCAGAAGTCTAACGCACAAAAATCATCATTCATGAAGCAGAAATTGAAGGATTACAATGATTTGTCTAATAAATACTCACCATCATAAAGTCATGGAGGCCTTAGCCGGCCTTCTGCCCACGTGTGGATGTGCAATCATCAAGAAACACTGCAACCGACCCGAGTTTATCCCCTGCTCTGTGGACAGCACATCATACTGTAGGTAAGAAGAGAATTAGTGATTGCATTGGTTTTTGATTTTATTTGAAAAACAAAAGTCATCTTACCTCCACATTTCCACGACGAGTGCGGCCTAGTAACGCTGCTACAATTTGCACCTTCATACTTTATCAAATTGGGATTAAATTCCATGTAAACCCAAATCATGTATCAAAATACTGCCTCAAAAACATGCAGCCAACAAGCTTTTTCACAGGTATGTTAAACGCAAACACGTCGAGTCCTGCGCGTAACAGCATGCACACACAGGATGGACTGGACAGAAAATGTCCCCCGGATGTATTTTATACCACATCCGGTGTCTGTGGGCCTTTTCTCATTGGCTCATACTGACTCTTCACTTCCCCTCCTCCACATCGTGTGGACATCTATCCCAAAGTCCAACCCCCAAGGTTTTCATTTCAGGAAGAAGCGGATCTAACGTTGTACCCACTGCTGCTGGCTCAAAGCTACAACGTTGAAATAAATAAAAAAACATTCGTAGCATCTGGTTGTTGGCCAAATCACGTTTTCTATGTAGTCAACGGCCATTCCGGACCAGCTGTCTATCCCGGTTTGAGACCAGAAAATATGGACTGGACAGTGAGCAGTCGGACCCGGTTGTGGTGCATTTTAGCGTTGCTTTGCTGCGCTTGTCTCCCACAAAAGGTAAGAGGGGCTAACTGGATAAGCTAGCTTAAGGTAGTTGACATTAGCTCGGAGTTATCCGCTTAACTACACTTCTCACTCCACGTTTCGCTTTTAGTCCCACAAATAGAACAAGTCCAAACTTAAATATGTGTAATTCAATGAACCTTTAGTTCTGCCTGCATGCTGCGTGTAGTCTTGACCTGACAGAAGTAAGCTAGCGTTAACGTTAGCTTGTTGGCTAAAAGCACCCGTTTTTAAGTAATGTGTGCTTTAGAAACCCTGTAATCAACTTTGCCAACATTTCATTATCAGTCCAGTGTCACAAATCAAGGAAAGCTAGGCTGTCTTTTCAATAACTCCCCCATTAGTAGCTCAGAATCGCATCAGGAAACTGGTGAGTTTAAGAAAAGCTAACTTACTTTAGTATTACCACTGTGGAAACCTAACGTTAGTCTTGTACCTCATACTAAGGTCAGTGTGTTGATGTTGAGGCTTGGTGATATGGTAATATTTCTACTGCTTGCATGTTATCTCAACACCTCCTTATCTTTTCACAAGACTGAACACAGGTCCTCTGCTTACTCACCAGCAGCACCTAATCATTCAGTATTAGCATATTACTTAGTTCGTACATACATGGTGCGAAGGTGGCAAACCAGAAGCAGTGATGGGTTGATGTGTTTGTGAAAGTTTGGTCTGTGATATTGTGCTCACCAGTATGTCTGAAGACATAAATACTTAAATAGACAAACAGGAGACACATTTAGATCAAACAGTAAAAACAGAAGCTTTACCTGTCTCTGTACTGAGGCTAAGTTTGAAGGATGACTCTTACCAGTGTCTACCATCCACACTTGCGCTAGACTTTATGAAAGCCTTCTGATGTTAGCGGGACAGAGACTGTGTGAGTGTGTAGCATCTGTAGCCTCTAATTTCAAAGGTTCCACGCCAAAGCACGGCATTATTATGCATGATGAAGCTTTGTGGTGAGGTTGATTTAAATTATGCTCAGCTTTATTCAGGCCAGTACAAAATAACCACATAAACATCCATGCCACCTAAACATACAAAATGATGTGATACACAAGCATTATGACTGTACAGTACCAATGAAGGGCGAAGTGCGACCCTAATAAATGTCCGTGTAAAACAGTATGCTATATAGTTGGATTAAACAAGCATCGATGCTTTTTAGTAATCGAATTAATTTATTTAATTGATGAATCATTTCAGCCCTAATCCTATTTAATTTTCACTAAAGGTAATTGTAAACAGAGAATGGATTACATAGTATAAGTGTGTGTCACAAAAGGAAGCTAGCCAACTTGCTGAAACTGAGCCAGATCCCTGGAAAGACTCCAGGTAGATACATTAGCTACCAAACTAGTAAACCCCTATAGCTAAGCAGCAGATTAAACCAGCTGTATAATCCCTTATCAAGTCTCAGGTTCTTCTCTTAGCCTGTTAAACAGTCTGCTGGTGTAGTGGGAGTGACAAATGATAGGCTATCTATAGATTTTCACACAAGGCTGGATAAGTGTGTGTGTGTGTGTGTGTGTGTGTGTGTGTGTGAGAGAGAGAGAGAGAGACGTACAAGTCAAAGAGCAACACAGGAAAGACTTGTATGTCTCTCTTTTCACCGTCTCTTGTTTACAGTTGAGTTATTTTTAAGGCCAGCTGATTTTCCATATTAAGGAGGATGTGTCGGTGACTAAAATCTAGCTAGATGATTCAGCTGCTATTACAGTCTGTTTTTAAAAATACTATTTCTCACATTATTCTCATGTCTCACTTCACACGTCTGCTGGCCCTTTATAACAACGCTACTGCTCCTTAAAAGACTGATAACTGACTTTAGATTACAATATGTCCCTCAGCCCAAGTTTGTTCCATTGCTTGGCCACTGTGACCATATTTTGTTTCTTAATTTTGTTGCCTATTTGTAGAACTAAATTAGGCTGATTCGAGCTGTCTCACTATCTTATCACACGAGCAGATTTGCTGTGTTTTGACTAAGTGTGCCTGAACGACTGCCGGCACGTGACATCCTCCCCACTGAAGCAACACCATGCAGAGAGCAGCTGATAGACTGTGTTCACCAGAAAGGTTGCTAAAATGCCTCAAGTGATCTCCACTAATAGTTATGCCCTCAAGGCAATGGTCCTTACCATAATCTGTTGTGTCTGAGACTGTGAAGGAAATCAAACACCCCCATCATCTTTATACAGCCATGAAGGGAAACCTCTACTTTCATCTAGGACTTTAAGACTGATGGATCATCAGGCTGTTCTTAATGAAGTGTTGCTCACATTCTCATGTACATGAAGGGATTTATTAATTGACTTTCAAAACATATTTATTTTTGATGACTTTGCACCACACCTCCCATGCCAACCAGATGTGAGATAAGTAGGCTATATCTTGGTTCCTGTGTTAGGTTTTGTCTGCAAGCTGCAAACAAGTTGGTGGTAAGAGAGTTTTCAACAGAAATGAGGTAACTGTAGTTTAGGCCCAATTAAAACACTGAGGATATCTTTTAGTTATAGTCTCACCTACATATGAGTTTTTGTCTCTTAACAGACACATGGTAGGGGGGCCTTTTAGGGACCACATTATGAGTCATTCACTCAGTCATTAGAATTTCCGATACCAATCACCCCTTCATTGTTTTCTGTTTTTAAACACTTTCACAGAAACCTCCTACATAAGTGACCCTGCTAAAGCCACCACTTTATCTGTACCATGTTATCTGTAGTCAAACTCGCACATCAGACGCTTAATACATTTTTCTTGCTACTACTAATTTCAAAAGTGATTCATTTATTAGTCATATGTCATTACATTTGGCAACCAAGTCCATATCTTCCCTCTTCGCTCGCCTATATCTCCAAATGACCACATAACAGCCATACAGGTCATACAGTAAATGGAAACCATTGCGTCCATTTCACACACCCAGTAAGACAGCCAAACAGAATGCATCAGTGTTTCAGGTCACACAACCAATTAATCTGGCCGTATGTAATTCATCCACACACTTGTTGCTCATGGAGTCCCACCATTAATATTGTCTGTCTGGTGTGTGTATGTGTGTGTGCTGTGCAGCAGTAAGCGGCTGCCCAAAGTCTGTTTCTGGCATGTTACACTGTCACATAATGTGGATCCATCCTAAAAGTAACACTCAAAAAGGTTTCTTCCAGGATGCAGAGCAGCAATGGCTGTGATACTTTTACGAACACTAATTATCTCCTTTGTAATGAATGTCAGCTACAGATTGGACCATCTCTCCATCTTTACCGTTCTTTGCTCACAGAGTCACCCCCTCCCTCTGGGTCTCGTGTATGTCTCCAGTCTTTCTTCTATAAAGAGACAGCCTGTCTCTTAGTCTTTGCCCTGGCAGTTCTTTCTTCAAGACAAGTGATTACATGTATCAGCTTTTGCCGAGGTGCCCTGGTTTAAACACCTCTAACTATTGGTTGGTGAGGTAATACTTCACCGTCTTGAAAGAGCCGAGTGTCTGACAAAGGGGTTATAATGTAGGTGTACTACTAAAGTGGGAGAACTGCCAATTGCAGCTTGTCCTGTGTTTCGGGTTTGGTCTGCCATGCAAGAGGCTGTGAAGCGCAGTGACACTCCAGCCTGCTAACAGTAATATCAAGAGCGTTGTAATCCGTGTCCCTTTTTTATAGTCGTGTCTGGCCTCATTGCAGAAGAGAAAGTGGAGACCTCAGAACTTGCCAAAACCTTGGTTTTGCCCATTTCTGTAGTATTGTGTAACTTGCTTACGCAACAACGTAACAGTTCTGTTATACACAGAATGGGGAAATGAGAGGGAAGGCCCCGATGTTTAAGCCTTCTAAACAAGCTTTATAACTCACCTCCCTGGTCACTCTGAGCAGCCAGACTTTGTAAACCAGATGTCTCTGAAGCCTAAAACTGTGGACTATTCAGCAGTCCAAAACTACGAGGCTAACAGATGTTAAGAAAGTAATTTGCTTGCGAAACCAAACATCCTCTGGTAGAGGTCGGGGGGGGGGTTAGTTATGATTCTCTCAGTACAGTTTTGTGATGCTTGTGAGTGTGCAGCCCAGTGGGAACAGTCGCAGGTGCCCAATATTGACACAAATGCACATATAGGATATGAGACTACAGCAGGGGGATTGGTAAGCAAACTGTGAAACTTTTCTGTGTATGGGGTTGTTTTGCCCTTGGTTTCTGTTTGGCTAGCTATAACAGGCTTGTATTTTCCCATTTTTAAGTTTCAGCTAAAGAACACACATGAGAGTGGTGTAAAAAACAGCTTGCTGTTTGTCAGATTCTCATGCACTGGTCATTTTTTATGATATTGGTTTTGTAAGGAAATGCAAGCCTTGTGACTAAGAAAGCAACACGCTGTGACTTTGTGACTTGGTGATGGTGGTTGCATTTGCTCTCCATTCCACATGCCCAGGCATCTAGCCCTGGTGCTGATTTAAGAGCACTTCAACTCCCACTTTCCTTATTTCCTCAAAAGTGGTTAAATGCCCAGAAGGGTGTGTTAGTAATTAAAGATTGGTAATCTGCATTATATGTATGGGCTATTTGCACCCCCTCCCCCCACCAGGGACCATTTGAGGAGGATTAGTCAGGGATGTCGATCAATACCTCTG